CACCCTTTCGGGATTAGATAGAGTAAGTTGTTTTGCTCACTTTTTTTCAAAAATTATATAAAATAAGCAAGTAGGTAATAGTATAGAAAATAGTGTTTGTACTCTTTTTTAAAGAGTATATATTTTTTTTCAAAAGCAATAAAATATATAGAGCCAAATGAACTGCTAATTTTTTTGTTAGTAAGTAATAAACTCTAAACTCGTTAACAAATAGTGTATAAAAACTACTTCTAAATAATAAATACTATTCTTATAGTAAGTGATAAGCTCTAAACCTATTAGTAGATAGTGTATAAGAACTATCTCTAAATAACAAATACTGGTTTATAGTTTTGATCAGTTTTATATTTTTCTTTTTAACTATAGTTTACTGTTTTTTTTTAAAAAAAAATTTGTTGTATTTTTTAATACAAGAGATTGTCAGAAAGAGTTCTTTGAATGCAATTTAACTTTAATAAAAATAATAAAAATTTGAGTGTAAGTTAGTAAAAATATAACAAATTTATTAAATAAATTTGTTTTATTTCTACTAACTCATTTCTATATGTTAATAATTGTAATTATATTCTAGTTTTTGTTTTAAATAAGTAAGGAATAAGAAAAATTAAATAAATTGTTAATTGCTGCCAAATTGTCAATAAGAATAGTAATTGTAAAATTAATTAGTAAAACAAAAAAAAGAGAAATAATTGCAGTTAATTCAAAATAAAAGAAGTTTAAAAAGAGTAAATTGCTGTATTGAATTTAATAAATAGATCATTTTTATAGATTTAGCTAATGCTAAACTATCAATTTGAAGTTTAAAGATTTTTAATAGAGGTATTAATATAAAACTAGAATTTAGTTATATTTAATTTATGATTTACAAGAGAACCAGTGATCTACAATAATAAAAATTGGAGATAATTTATATATGTTTTTTTAACCTCTTTTTGAATTTACTCATTTCCACTATACAAAAGTATTTTTTTTTTATGTTTTATATTGTATTTTTTTTTTATATAAATAGATTTTATAACCTATAACATAAACTAAAGTACCTTTATCATAATATTTTATGGATACAGATTAATATAGATATATAATTATTGTCCACATATATATAATAGCTTGTTGAAATATCCTTCATGATATTCACTTGTTCAAAATGCCTTGATATAAAATATAGGGTCTTTTTAAATTCCTAGACTTCTTATTATTAAATACGAAGTATGTAAGTACTTGAAATTTTATTTTTTACAATATAGACCTATCATAATATATATAATCCAGGTCTTTTTAAGTTTTTTTGTTAGATATATATATTATATTAAACCCAGGTCTTTTAAAATTTTGTTAGGTATCTGTATTAAATTCGGGTCTTCAATAAATATATGAAAACATTCACTAAAAATTTTTTGGAGAGTTTTAAGCACCTACATATGTACCTCAATAGACTCTACAATAAACCTGATTTTCTGTTTGATTCTTTATAGAATTTATTGAAGTAGGCATGTAGGTGCTTGAGAATGATCTTTATGGAGTTAATTGAGTCAGATGCTTGAGGTCACCTTTTATGGAGTTAATTGAAGCAGATACTTGAGAATGCTCTTTATAGAGTTTATTAAGGTAGGTGCTTGAGAATGCCCTTTAGAATTAGCCAAGATCAGCACCTTGGTATTTTTTTTTATTCAAAATATTCTAAAATGTTAATATTGCCTGAAGTTTGCTGCAATAAGGCACTATGATATTCTATTAGTAAATTTGGGCAATATTAATATTTTAGTATATTTTGACCCAAACTTTGGGATAACCCTAGCTGATTTGCCCTTTATAGGATTCATTGAGGTAAGTGCTTGAAAATGCTCTTTATAGAATTCATTTAGATAGTGCTTGAGAACATCTTTAATAGGTATATTTTATAAGTAGGTACTAGGTTTGGTTTTTATGATTACTGTGCCAAACAGAATAAAAAAATTCATGGACCATCTCAAAATAATGGCATCTGCACATTATTTCGAATGCTCATATGCACATAATTTTGAGTTAAATAATCAATTTTGAAATCCAATTGTTACATAAATCCATGATTTGTTACGTTATCTTGAAACACGCATGGCATTATTTTGAAACAATGATACTTTTGGGGTGTGATTTTTAAATAGCGTCTATGTCTGTTATTTCGATAATTGCAGTAACGTCAAGGAAAAATCTGAAATTTACATTCTTATGTATTACTTTATCATTACTTTAATAGTATATTTAGAAAACTCATTAATACATAAGAATATAAACTGACTTTTCTATTGAAGTTACACATATTTTAATGTATCAATTTTATCCAAGATTTTCAAATGCCATATAAATATAAAATACACATTATTAGTTCACCTATGTATTATTAGAGTATTTTCATGTGAATTATTTAAAATTTTTAATGCATATTCAGTATTTTAATAGTTGTTTTTTTAATTCGAGGTAGGATTTATATATATGTATTTGAATTAGCTATTGTAAGCTTTATTTAAAACCAATTTTAATTTTTCAAAATAACACCTGTGGGCTTATTTTATTCTTTATATAAAGGGTGTGAGAAAACTAGAAATATATAGCATGATATTTATGAAGATTTTTCGTTTATATAAATAAATAGCTTTTTTTTTTTTGGCGCATTATAAAAAGAACTAATTAATTGTACAATAGTTATTTTGTAATCCACACAACTCTCATAAACTCTTAATAAACAATGAGTAAACCAAATTAATAAAATAACTGTAACAATAGTTTGAACTCCTTGATTTAAAAATATGTCAAAATATAAAGTTTCACTTATCTCATAGGGCAAAATTGTATCAAACTTACATTATGGGCCATATACTAAGGACTGGTGGATCTCTCGACCTACTAATGATATAAATGATGCATTTCTCTGCCCAATTCGTCTTAGTATAAAGACAATTACTACGATAAACCAATGTGATTTTATAGCTACAGTAATTTAAAACAATTTTAAGCCTAGATATTTGTGTTAATCTGAAGCTCTGTAAAGTAACATTTGTAAAAATTCATCAGAAGCAATTACTTTGATATATCAATAGGCTTTTCTTACAAAAACTAGATTAGATAGTTCTTCATTTATGGGATTTGATAGTTCAGAAATACGCAAAATGTTACTTTCTGTATATATTTTCACCCTTTTTTTTTTAAGGTTGAAAATTTAAATTTGACTATTTTTTTTTTTTTTTTTTGGTATTAAAGTGACCTCTTTGGTCTGGTGACTTTTTATTAGAGTATAGACGAAGTTTTATATATAATTACAACGATGATACATCAAGCCACACATGCACCTTTTGAGTGCCTATTTAAGTAGTCCGCCCGAAGGTTCTACACTATCTGCCGTACC